ACAGTTAAAGGACTATTTAAACAGCAAGTGGCACCATGCTCCAAGCCAAACCTTTACTTTTAAAGCTGTCTCATCCCTTTACCCCCTATAAAGAAAGGAGGAGACAACAACAACTATAGCTATCCGATTCCCTAATAACTATCCGACACTTCACACGCAAAGAGACATCTTTAAAAGCGCAGTCCGTACCTCTGGTCTACCCACTGCTCCTCAGAAAATATTCTCTCTTTTTGTAACATAAACAGAAAGCGAAAGGATGAAAAAATACACTCATGTCCATAAATTAAGGATAATGCAAAATCAGGCAAAGGAAGAGTTAGAAGCAAAACAAATTTGACTTATTTGTAAAGCTATTTACTAACAAAAGTAAAAGCAAAAAAAATGCTAATGTTTGATATTTAAAAATTACGATTTTTTCTCCTGGAGCAATTAAAAAAAAAACTATTTACAAAAAACAATATTACATGGTGGTATGATTTATACATTGTATGTTCCAGCGATGAATACGTCCGTAAAACGCCAGCATGCTGAGTATCAAATTCGATCTGATCTTGGGCGTATTACAAAACTCAAAAGCATCTCTCCGAAGTTTTTCCGAGGATGGGTGACGGCTGCACTCTCGGCCAGCATCCAAAGTGCTGTACTGATCAAGTCCGTGAGATGCTGCCAGTCTACGGTGATCCTCCGATGAAGGCATCGCTTACAGGTTTTCACGGTGGGACGGGCGTGTCATCCTAACACAAGTGTGCGTCCATAGCGCCCCGAAACAAACGTACAGGTGTTCCAGAATGACGTCCCGATAGATTGGCTTGCCTGGTTACAATTTGAACATGCAGTCAGTCTGGAACCAGAATATTCCACCCCAAACGAGCACCCTGACCACCGTAACGGGTCGTTCATGACGTTTCTTGTGGTAACGGTACTGAGCTCCTATGAAAGTCCGCGGAATCGACTGCAAGCTAAACCTAACTGTCGGAAAACATCACACCAAGCCCCTGTTGCGGTGTACGCAAGCATGCTCTTCTACTCAGGCTAACCGCAGGCGCCTTGAGTTGCGTAGTCGAACGCTCTGACAGTTACGAGCTAAGAGACCATCTCCCTAAGCGTCGACACGCTCCTTGAATTTCTACCAGTGGCTAAAGAGAGCTGACGAGACAGTCTGAAGATGTCTCCGCGTTCTTTGCAGTAACTGCCAATACCGGTCTCTTCGCGTGTAACTCTGGGGCGACCTGTCTTAACGCCTATCACTTAACATCATCTTGGATCGTTGCCAAAGCTGAGATGCCACTCTGGCAATCCAAGTTGTCTGATACTTCCAGTTGGTCGCCCAATTACAGACGGCGATATTTACACGTAAAATCATCCAAAGCGTCCTTGGTAGAAACTATCGGTATTGACTGAATGCTATAAGCGCCTGCGAACAATTACTTCTTTGCCTTATCCTTATATATCACTCTTTACATATCGTCATTGACGACCATCGTGTCATTTTTACTCCCAAATTGCAGATTCTTGAGATGTGTGTAGTGATTTACAGGTGATATATTTATTTAGAGTTGGTTTCTCGTGATCCGCATCTCCCTTTTAATTTATGGACATGAGTGTAATATTATATTACACTAAAGAAATAATAGAGGTTCTCGCATAAAGACCAAGTTGTCCAAGGTTTTCTAATTTTTATTTACAACACATCTCATACATAAACATATATTAGACTGAATTATAAACTAAGTATTATTAATCAGGTAACCCGAGTAAAAAAGAATAAAATAAGCATAACAAGCAAAAAAATGTACGTTACATTGAGAATTCTAAAGATTTTAACAAGAAAAAGTTTCGCAAGGCCTAACCGGGAAAATGACATCAGATGATTGAAAATGCACGGTTGCCAGAGATCTCATGATCATTTTTATTTTCAACATCTTGCCTCCCATGAACCCTAGAGGGTACATCAAACTTCTATATAAACAGTATAGATTCATACTACAAAAATGCTTGAGTTCCAGACAAAATAAAAGAAATGTATCTCATCTATAAACAACTGTGAATTTAAATGGAACTTCAAGCTATTTAAATATAACATTATCTAAATTTAAAAAGTATTCATATTTTTTTAGGAGATTGTTCAATGGTCCCTAAGGGCATATCAATACTCTATGAACTTAAACACACTTTAAATTACTAAATTTAGTCAGGGAAGCTACTACGAGTAGAAATGCAAATTTTTAACAATAAAAAACCATAAGAAGATTAACTCATAATACATATTTGATAATTAAGACTGAAGATAAAACTTAAGTTCTGAAGTTCTAAATTGTACAAAAGTTGTATAGAACGTCTAATAACCGATAACTCGGTTTTTGCCTTAAAACTCTAGCTGTATTGTCACTTGCAGATAACAGAAAATTGCATTCACGAGTGTTAATGTATTCAAATTAATTAATATATTCGAATTTTGAATTCGAAATTACTGCTTGGAGCAATACTAGAATTTATCCCCATCAGGAATACTCTTATCTTCTGGAATACTGACTCCAAAAAGTCAAATATTCTTTCGCATTCGAATTTTTTTAGTTCAATCTTCGGTAACTTCCGTTTTTCGGCAATAATTTCTCCAGATGATTTAACAGTTGACATAGTTTTCTTGCTTGATAATAGTCCAATTTTAACACAATTCCGAAAATTTATCACGATAAATTTTAGCAGATTAAAAAATCTCCTTTAATGTTTTTTCATTAATCTTATCTTTTAAACCAGTTGTAAACAGTTCTTTTTGGTATTCTTCTAAATGAGTAAATTTATACTGTAACTGAGACTCCAGAACCGGAATTGATTTCACACCGGGAACTTTTTTAAGTAACTCAACTTGTATTTTGCTCACACATGTTGTAAATGTTCTTCCCAGCGGTTATCGCTTGGTTTTAAGACGTGTCACATCCATTATCTCCTAATAATTACTACCACTAGTTATCGACTTCGCCCCCCGTTGGACGCCAAAATATTTTATGTTGCGCATCTCGCAGTGCAGGCTACCTTTGAAAAGGTAACACAATAAATAACGTATACCCGACGTTATTTCAGTAACTTCTAAAATGAAGAGATATTATGACACGTAAAAAACTCAATTTAATTACCTTAAAACATGTATTAAACATACAAACATTTTTCTGTCTACATCGGATTATTAAGAAAATTACATCTATTTACTACATGTAAATATTTTAGACGTAAAACTACATATAAATATATCAGACGTAACAGTTCATCATGCGACGTCAGTCTTTCGACTTGTGCAGGTTGTCGAGTGAAATGATGCCATTCGCAGTAGCATTAATAACTGTGATGTTAGCAAGTAAAACCAGCACAGTGGACTATCTTGAAAGAGGAACTATCAGTTATGCTATTTTTAGGACTTGAAAAGATCAACAGGTATTTATTGGAGAGAGACAAATGAAACTAAAAGGATGCCTGTGTGTTGCTTCAGCAAGTTCAAGATTGCACCTACGTGCTAAGAGATACTTGCTGCTATAAATTCATTGCTGGAAGAGAGATAAAATAGAAAGTACATCAAAGGAGATTCTCCAGTAGAGACCAAGCGTTCGTAAAATATTAGCAATAGCATAAAAGAGGTTCTGCAGTAGGGGCTGCGAGATTAGAATTTTCTTGTGAAATCTAGGCGTTGCTAAATTATTAATACCCTGTATTTAACATAGTGGGGATATGGTAACAAAAAAGTGGCATGAAAAAAGTAATGTTAAGAAAGTAAAAAATTACATAATATTACGTAAATACATCAAAAATCTAATTCTTTATTTATATATAAAAATAAAACGTTAGAAATTTTTCAACTCTGCAATTTTTGTATATACCGTATTAGTAGTTCGTGGGAGAATCATTGCTCATCTAAAAAACGTATGAAACGTGTGGTGATAGCGGAATCCAGAGCTATCATCACATGCTCTAGATTTCGAGTACAAGAATGTAAGCAATTTGATTATCACCATATTCATGTTTTATACTTATTTCAAGCTATTCGATCAAAGCATGTGTATTAGTTCTTAGTTACCGTTATGCCCTACGGTTCCAAGTTCCTCTGACTGTTCATCCCTGGAACCGTGAAGACATCATCTGGTCTCAATTTCTAAGTAGAATAACACAAACTGAGAAAAATCTAGTCATTTACACAATCTGTCCATTGATCAAGTCTCCGTAGTTTGCGGAAATTCAGAAACAAAAGCACAAGTAAAACAGAAACATTAAATTAGAAAAGTAAATCACAAACAAAAGGCCCTCAAATATTCAGGAACAATCACGACTCGCAAAGCTGAAGTCGAATTTAAGTAATTCTGTCGTAAAGAGAACGAATAGCATTACAGTCAGCGAGAGTTGCCAAAAGATCGAGCTCAAGAACTCTACGCTTAAATACATTAATCACTTTACATCCTGGTTCGAGCCGACGAAAAGAGAAGTGAAACTATAAGCAAAATGAATAACTTAAGTGATTTAATAATATAAAATCCCACAGTACAACCTATAAGACGAAACGTTAGGCTATTTATTACATACATCTAATGTTATTCAAAGTAATAATAAAGAAAAGGTTTTAGAAAGTAAACTTTGGAGAAAGATGATGAATATATAAATACAGGAAAAAATGAAGAAAAGCAAAACTTATTATTCAATTATATGTATTTTCTCCACTACGGTAAGTAGAAATTTCGCAGAGAGAAAGTTCAGTTAATTTATAATACCTCGTTGCAATATGTTAAAGATAATACGTAAGTTGCGGCAGGAGAAACTATTATCTTTAAAAAAATCGGTAAAACATTTATTGCTTTCTTGAACTCTGTTGGTCCTCCTGTATGAATAAATATCTGAGTGTCAAAACTTCATTCTCGTATCAAAACAATTTCCTTCCTGAGTAACCGGAATTTTCTTTTCTGTATCGGTTTAGTAATTAGGTAGTTTCCTCTTACATCCGCTTGGCATTCTGCGGGCAACAACGGACAGCTTAATTCGAGTCACGTGTCCATCGCCATCCAACCAATCAAAGCAATCTGCTGTGTTTATGTCACTACTATATTGTTCTGCAACGCCCTAATTCCAATTTCTACGAGATTCCAATATTTAGCAATATCCAATAATGTGGATTTTTGGTGTGTTATTATGGTGTCACTTCTTCGTATGTGGTAAGTTTAAGACTTAGCAACAAGCGATCATTGTAGTAACATTGTAATGGAAATCTGCATTAGCTATATCCTTTTGCAATCGGAATCTTACCTTGTGTGGCATTTCGTGAAGATTATGATTTTTAAAATGTTATGTAAATATTTACAAACTGATTTTTTAAAACATTATATGAATAATTAAAAATTGATATTTTGTGTGTTTTACGAGAACACATATTACTTAAAATTACTTTTTTTGTATTACACAACGTAAGTGAAAGGCCATGAGAATTCGTAAGATTTCACCATCTGGAATGTGTGTAGGGAATCATGAGTTTTGTTCTTGTAATTTTGTGTAAAAGGAATATTTGAAACTATGTTTCATCTTAAAGGAGAAATGAAGTTCATCTTAAAAGAGAAATGAAGTAGATAGCTAAAGTCTACTTGATGCTTTTAACTTAACTTAGTGATTCATTAATGTATCGAAAAAGCAAAGCATATGTAATGAAACATATACTGCATTTACTGTCGAGCTAATTTGAACTCCTGTTCTTGACAATTATGTACATACATGTACTAAATTGATATAATATGATTTACTTAAAAAAACATTTATTTTATTAAAAGCTTTGTTTTTATGTGATTACCTTTCAAATGATCTTTTTATTTAAATTTTCTATTTCAATTTTATTTTTAAAAATTATTTCTAGTCAAGTAAAAAAGAGTTCTAGCCACTAAAAAAGTCGAGTATTATACAGTTTAAGCACTAAAATTCCTAAATTGTAAGCTATGAACATATAACAGATTTTCTCATTTTTATTTCACAAAAGAGAAATTTATGTATTTTTCCATCATAAATCTTATTTTAATTTTTCTTAGCTATGCGGATTCAGAAAATCAAAATTAAATTGACGAGGAATATGAAAATGTGAAATGATTAGAGTGTAATTGCGTAGTAAATATATATATAAAACTGAAGATAAAGCATTATAGAGGGAAAAAAAAAATGTATTTATCTCCTTTGTTTAGTACTTCAAACAGAACTTGTCCAGGGAAAAGGCTATCCTTTGTTTTATTTTCAGTTATTTTATACGTATTTGAAGTTTTTAATTTTACTACTCCTTTTAGGTTGCGACTTTTATTGAGAAGGAATTGGTTATGACCTTCATAGGGAAGAAATTATAATCTTTCATATAGTCCTAACTTTTTTTAATGCTAATTTTATTAATTATTTATATATATATATAAGCAAATAACCAAATTTAAGCAAGGTCTATTAAAAATCCTGCGCCTAGGATGCAATGATTTAAAGAAACATGATTATAATTAAAGGAGAATATTCCTATTAAAATTCTTATATTTCAAATTAAATTAAGAATGTTAATAAAGTAAAAGAATAACAATTTGAAGTCTAAGTTCCAGTTTACAAATTCATAAAACGTTTTAGAAAAATATTTACAAGTATTAAATAGCAAATGTTAAATCGGCATGGAAAAATTGTTTTACTAGCAATGGCCAGTAGTAGTCGATATGCATGAAATTGTGACAAAAATTTATAATGGTAAATAAAGCTATACAAAGAAAATTACTTTAAATTTGAAAAGATAATGAAATAATACCGACTCTTCAGAGGGAATTAGCTTATTTCACACTCCTTCCAACCGTTTAGACGTTGTTTCGTCCTTGCTGTGCATATTCAAACAGAAAGAAGAAATGGAATTAAATGCATATATTTGATTCCCCAAATTTAGTATCCTCATATGCATATCAAAAATTCCCTTACACAACGTAAATTAAATTAAAATAATTTGGAATGCAAAAAAATTTATGCAAGTGCAAAAATAGTTTTAGAACAAAACGTAAGTATTGAATCAAACTTAAATGTGAAAATAAAACATTAGAATATGTATATATTGCACAATTAATATTTAATTTTTCTAGAATGAAAGCATAAAAATAAAGAATTAAAAAGAAGTATATAAATAAATTAGAATTCTATTAATTTTTAAATTGACTTTTATTTAGAAGGTCAAACTTTCAGTTGGAGATTAAATTTTTCGAGTTACGACACTTTGAACACAGATTCGAATTTTCTAATAAAAAGAACTTGCAAATTTAATGTTGAAAATGTCGATAAATTTTTTTTGAGAAAAGAAAATGATGATTTAAAAAATATGATGAGAACAAAATTATAATAATTTTTTTGAAAAAATGAATGACGTTAAAAATATGAATAAATTTTTAACAAAAAATTTAAATCTTAAAATATAAAAATATTTTGCAAAACTGCCAATTCAATATTTGTTATTTTTAGCATTGCTTCCTAATCTAACGCTGGCACAGTTAAGTACCATGCGGGATCTAAAAGTGTGGTTTTTGGCATAAATTTCTGAATTTTCAGAGATTTTTGCTACTATGAATACATTCAATTTTACATAGAAATCTGTACTTTCATCAAGCTTTTAATCTCAAACTCATTCCATATTTTCCCGCTATTTCGTATGCTTCATCCAAACATTTGCTTTCACTTAATATATTATTGAATGTATCTTGAGCTGCTAATTTTTTTACACCTCCTTCTTCAAAATCCATATTTTTAACAATAAATAGCTTTTTGGATAGTAAGACTTTATTTTTAACCAGAATAAAATCTTGAACTTTCTTTAAACATTTCCAGTATAAGATTTTGCTATAAATTGTCAGTGATAGATGACATAAATTTAATTAAACCTCGGTTTCTTTCTTCCGATATTTTTACTAAAAGATATATATATATTTTTTTCAGTGTTTGGAATAAGTTCAATAGTGATTTTATCTCATCCAATGCCTTTTATGAATAAATGTACATCGTATCCTGCTAAAGTATGTATTATTACAAGACTGAAATTAGGAATTTGATAATGTAAATTAAAAGCATTATATACTGATTCTTCTATGTTTTCCAGGTAAATGGCATCGATCTATAACTTTCTTTTTATCATCTGAAGCTTCAAGTATGATTTCCTTTTTACATGTATAGCAAACATTTGTACTTTTGTAATGTCTTATATCAAAGTCTGCTATTTTAGTTTAAAGTCTTTATATTTTTTCTTTTCTCATCAATAAAGTCTTCAGTTACTCAGCAAAAACTAAAACTATAGCTTCAGATTTTGATATTTTCTGATATAGGAGTTTGTTAGATCTGATTAACAAGCATTCGCCTTTTTCATTACGGATTCAAAACCGGCATAGATATGAAATGGTACGTCCAACTGACATTTTATAATTTCAAATTTTACATATGTACCTTTTCAGGCATTTCTATCTTTACAGAACTAATGCATGTACAATCAATTTCCTGTTATTTTCAAGTCTTCGTTTGAATAAAAATATCTTAAACACCTATCACATAGAAACTTTTGATGATTAGGTTTTTGACTTCTTATTAACAAATTAACCGCCAAAACTACAAGTAATGTTTCTTTTCTCATTAAAATAATAACAAATATTAAATTAAGCATTTATAACATAAATTTACATTGAAAATAAAAAAGAATGCTCTTACCTGTGGAAAAAGCGAGAGTTCCGTTCGCGCAACGTCAGCGGAAAAAGACTACGGATGTTTAGTGAGTAGGATTGTACTCGTGTGCTGTTCCTTCGAGTGGAGCGCAGGAATTTTTAGCTGTATAACGTTTTTATAAATCTAAAGCACTTATTGTAATTAATTTAATATTAAAAGACATTGTATTTCTTTTAATATAGATTATTTTCAATTGAAAGATCAAGCATGAAAAGCTTGATTACAATTATGATGTAAAGCTACATTACATACTTTGCATCTATAAACAGTCTGAGGTATCCGGACATAATCCCGACAGCCGAAATCCCGACAAGCCAGAATCCCGACAGACGGAATCCCGACAAGCCAAAATCCCGACAGGGTCGAAATCCCGACAAACCAAAATCCCGACAGGGTCGAAATCCCGACAAGCCAAAATCCCGACAGGGTCGAAATCCCGATTGTCCAATATCCCGACAGGGTCAAAATACCGACACGGGCGAAATCCCAATAAGGCCTAAGACCCCTTACATACTTCCACAGCTGCACTAGTATATGCTTTGATGACTAGCAAATCTGAAGAAAATTACAAAAGATTATTCCAAGATTTAATTGATTTCGCTGAAGAAATTAATATTGAATGAGGCCATCTAGAATCATTAATGATCTAGAAAAGGCAGCTATAATGCTCCGCGCACTCAAAATGCTTTCGAGGATTGGCACAGAAGATGGGAGACCTAATTGGAAGGCCCATGTTGGCGTTTTATAACATCATAGAAGGACTTCAAAAAAGAACAGGAGCATGTGGAATACCAAGTTGAATGCATTCTTCGAGGAAACAACAACCAAAACGTAGAAGGTAGATGATGACAGAGAAGGAGAATTATGACTGTTGTAGACGATCGTGGTAATCGACCTGTGATGGAATATCTTCGTGCTATCGCTCACAATGTGTCACTGTAAATATGTCGTTTGCATGTGTAAGTGATGTTTTCTTTTTCTTAATAAAAAGAATTTTATAAATCTTCATTTCAAATTTAGCGGTCATTTCAATTTGTTAAAATTATTTTAAGTAATGACATAATTTTTATGATTTTTTGATTTAAACTTTTAACTAGTAATATGTAATAGTTAGTTAAAAATTGTATTTTATTAAGCTAAATTGAGTGTTTGTATTTAGATATTAACTTGTCGGGATTTTGGACGGTCGGGATTTCGACCCTGTCGGGATTCTGCACACTCGGGATTCTGACCCTGTCGGGATTCTGGCTTGTCGGGACTTTGACCCTGTCGGGATTTCGACCGTGTCGGGACTTTTGGGTTGTCGGGATTTCGGCCCTGTCGGGGTCCCGACTGTCGGGATTCTGGATTGTCGGGATTTCGGCTGTCGGGATTATGACCCAGACCCACAGTCTGGCTATGGTATTCTTTACAACAAAGTCTTTTGTTATCAACGGACTTTACGATAAAATGTCTACCATCT